AACACTATGCCCCAAAGAATTTCAGCCGCAATAAAAAATAAAGGAGATGTTACCCAATGGTAATCTTTCAATTGTTGCTTTGTTAACTTCGCGCATTTATTCGCACATTGTTTATTTGTTCAGATGTTCTATTAGTTATAGGTCTAAGTGATTTCAAATATGTATTTTTTACGACTAGAGTGTATCTAAAATGTTTTTGAGAAAATAAATTATTTTAGAACTAAATAGCTTCATGGTTAGGTTATAAAGGCATATTTTGGTACAAATCTTGAAGTGGGAAGGGGCTCGTATAAGGAAACTTAATTTTAACAACTGCCTCCGTTCTTATAGTGAAGCGTGGCGTTGACTCCAAGTCTTCCCGAGGAACTCAATTCACTATCCTATATGCTCAACTTTGCGCATATTTTTCCATTTGTTCCCAAATTACCTTTCACCTTGTTGTAAAGTGCTCTAATAAATCTTCCAACGTTCATTTGAAACGCTCTCCTACATCGTTATGCAACTCTATATCTCGTCTCCCGGGAAACAATGTTACCCCTTCTCTTCTTACACACTTTGTTGCCTCGGATTCTCTTCCCCGGGGCAACTCTTGTAGTTCAAATTTATTACACGGCAAGAAGCTCTTAGAAAGCTTAAGTAAATGTTTCGAATTATTAAAATCTACGATGCAAAACAAAGGAGTCTTTGTATTTTCATATTGATAGCCCATTAGCAACTGCGGAAAATCTAGAATACTTCGCTCTACTCCAATGCTTCTACTGAAAGTAGATGCGTTTAAGGAGTTCGGTTGAATGATTAGCGAGATATAGGCATAAGTAGTTACACTTGATAATGTAAAATCAACAAAATAAATAAATCAAATGAAGTGTATGAAGACACTATTATGTATGTATCGAAGAAAGAGACTAAACCAAAACAGTGTGATTATTGCCTGATCAGTAGACTGATATATTTCAAGAGAGAGAGGGAGCATAACTGTTATTGGGCCGAATAGGTCGAGCCCTTACACAAAACCAATGACAAACCAGAGGATGGAGTGGGAGACGATACGACCGCGCATGCCGGCTGTACCGGTGGCTGGCCGTACAGTACAGAGTCGGCATCAGATTTATACTGGTATTACTGTGTGCTTATTAGATTTGTCAGTCTAATTTCGTATAACTCAAAATGTCTGATACGGATACAGCTGATGAAGTTGTCGATATAAGCTGCACACCGCCTAAAAAAGGATCTAAAAGGCTTCATTTTAGCGTTAGCGAAAAACAAATAATTATCAACATTTACAGGGTGTCCCAGAAGTCGACGTCAAGCCGAAACCGGGTGATAGGCAAAGTCATAACAGCTATCAGAAAAATATTTAAAAATTTTTTATGTATGTGTTTTGAAAATTATAGGTCTTTGAAAAAGATATAGAAATTTCACACCCTACGGCAGTCTGTCAACTCCTGTTACTACAAATATTAACTTTTTTTGGATTTTATTTTTACAATGTAATGATGAATAATGCATCTTCAAACTGGTGTCTCAACCTTACTGCCAACTTTTCTCGTTCAGGAAAAATTGCCACTTATTTCCCAACCAAGTATTCCAAAGTAAAACTTTGCTCAACTTTAACTGGCTGTACGAGAAAAAAATGTTCTACGAGAGTTTGGCAAGTAACCTTAAAAGTTGGCGCATTTAATAGGGATTCCAAAATGGTATAACACTTAGAAGATTACTCGTTAACTTATGCACAATTTTTATTTGAAGAAAAACTGATGAAAATGTTTCAAAATTTCCTAATTAAACAGCGATTATGAAAACGCACAAGGACCCTTAAGGATAACTGTTTGCACAACTGTGGGCGTCAAAATGCTGCTGATGATGATTTACCTTTACAGCACATGCTCAAACTGTTTTCCTTCAGCTGCAATACACGCTCGACATCTTCTTAAAGAAGATCGGCTTATTAAACGAGCGAATCCACGGTTATTAACAAACTCAGCTGCTTCCAATAGTCTTTGCCGTAGCTCAGCTACATTTTGAACCGGCTTGAAATACACTTTTTCTTTTACAGTTCCCCAGTAAAAGAAATCTAACGGATTTAAATCTGGTGACCGGGCTGGCCACGGTATTGTACCAGACCGCCCTATCCATCTGCCTGGAAAGTTTTGATCGAGATACTCTCTCACTGAGAGTGCATAGTGCGCTGGGCACCCATCATGCTGAAACCACATGTCCCTGTAAATACTCAGTGGCACGTCCTCCAATAAATTTTCTAAATGATTTTGCAAAAAACCTAAATAAACCTCAGCAGTCAAAGTCTCTGGGAACTCAAACGGACCGATTATTTCACCATTTAAAATTCCTGTCCAATGGTTTATCTTGAAGCGATATTGAGATTTATCTTCTCTCATCAAATGTGGGTTTGCTACGTGCCACTCGTGTAAGTTATGCAGGTTCATGTACCCATCTTTCTTAAATGTGGTCTCATCTGACCATACGTTTTTTTCAAAGAACCGTGGATCTTCCCTGTGTCTTTCTAACATTGTGCGACAAAAAGCAACTCGGGGCTCATAATCCCGGGGCAGAGGAGCTTGAACACGCTGTACGTGGTATGGATGGAGCACGTTTTTTGCAAGATTCTATGGGCTGTACTTTTGGGCACACCTGTTTTTAGTTCTATTGCACGCACTGAAGTACTCGGGTCTTCTTCGACAGCTCCTAGCACCACGTCTTCGTAAGGAAGGAAAGATCTTCAATTACCGTGTGATTGGTTTGGTAGTTGGCCCTCTGAGAACAGTAAGCGGTGCACATTTGTGAACACTCGATGATCTGGATGACGAGCTGCATTCGGGTACCTCTCACAGTAAAGTCTCGCTGCAGCACTAGCGTTGCATCTGCATTCCCCATAAATGAGGTGCATGTTAGCATATTCTTGTACGGTGTACACGGACATAGCGGCACTGCACAATCACACTATCAAAGATAGTCTAAGGAAAGCAAATGTTTTTTTGAAGAGCAATTAAACAGTCCAAATCCAAATCACAAGGGATCAACAGTTCAGTTCACGAATCCAAAATTAGTAACTGTACGAAATCAACAAGCACGAACATGTAAAGATGCACAGTAAACGAATGAGTACTGATCGGTATCAAAGTGTGCAATAGCAAGTAAGTGATGTGCTTCATCCATACCACATACAGCGTGTTCAACCTCTCCTGCCCCGGGACTATGAGCCCCGAGTTGCTTTTTGTCGCACAATGTTAGAAAGACACAGGAAAGATCCACAGTTCTTTGAAAAAATTTTATGGTCGGATGAGACCACATTTAAGAAAGATGGGTACATGAATCTGCATAACTTACACGAGTGGCTTGTAGCAAACCCACATTTGATGAGAGAAGATAAATCTCAATATCGCTTCAAGATAAACCATTGGACAGGAATTTTAAATGGTAAAATAATCGGTCCTTTTGAGTTCCCAGAGACTTTGACTGCTGAAGTTTATTTGGATTTTTTGAAAAATCATGTACAAAATTTATTGGTGGACGTGCCACTGAGTATTTACAGGGACATGTGGTTTCAGCATGATGGCTGCCCAGCGCACTATGCACTCTCAGTGAGATAGTATCTCGATCAAAACTTTCCAGGCAGATGGATAAGGCGGTCTGGTACAATACCATGGCCAGCCCGATCACCTGATTTGAATCCATTAGATTTTTTTACTGGGGAACTGTAAAAGAAAAAGTGTATTTCAAGCCGATTCAAAATGTAGCTGAGCTACGGCAAAGACTATTGGAAGCAGCTGAGTTTGTTAATAACCTTGGATTCGCTCGTTTAATAACCCGATCTTTTTTAAGAAGATGGCGAGCGTGTATTGCGGATGAAGGAACACAGTTTGAGCATTTGCTGTAAAGGTAAATCATCATCAGCAGCATTTTGACGCCCACTGTTGTGCAAACAGTTATCCTTAAGGGTCCTTGTGCGTTTTCATAATCGCTGTTTAATTAGGAAATTTTGAAAAATTTTCATCAGTTTTTTTTTCAAATAAAAAATGTGCATAAGTTAACGAGTAATCTTCTAAGTGTTATACCATTTTGGAATCGTTATTAAATGCGCCAACTTTTAAGGTTGCTTGCCAAACTCTCGTAGTACATTTTTTCCAGTACAGCCAGTTAAAATTGAGCAAAGTTTTACTTTGGAATACTTGGTTGGGAAATAAGTGGCAATTTTTCCTGAACTAGAAGTAAGATTGAGACACCATCATTACATTGTAAAAATAAAATCCAAAAAAAGTTAATATTTGAAGTAACAGGAGTTGACAGACTGCCGTAGGGTGTGAAATTCCTATATCTTTTTCAAAGACCTATAACTTTCAAAACACATACATAAATTTTTTTAAATATTTTTCTGATAGCTGTTATGACTTTGCCTATCACCCGGTTTCGGCTTGACGTCGACTTCTGGGACACCCTGTATAAATACGAAATGCAAGGAAAAAACAACATTGTTTGCAAAGCTGACATCTACATATTTTTCAATACTTGTAAGACGAGGAATTTAAACTAAAATTATATTTAATTTTTGTTTTTGTACATGCTTAATCTGTATCGAGATAAGAAATCAAACAATCATTTTGTTGGGTTTTTAATGCTTTCAATAGGAGCGGTTTTAAAGTCTCCAAAATGATTTATTTTTAGGAAAATGTAAGCGATGAATAATTAGCGTCGGATAATTTCAGACAGTTTTTACGTGATATTAGAATATACTCGTGCAAGTAGCATTAGTGCTGCTAAAAGGGAGCGACATGCTGAATCCAGCACTTCGACCGCTAGCCCTCCTCGGCGAAGAATGCGTTCTATCGAGATGTTACATATTATGATGCTATTTTTGACTGTTATGTTAATTATTTACGAGATCGTTTTGGTTGGAACGTTACGGTTGTAACAATCAACGCAATAACACGAAAGCAATGGAGCAATAACGACGATCAGCCTAAACCGATACATGCACAGAAATTATGTTTGATCCATCAATGACTCCGACAGCAGCCCAAGAGAAATTTCTCGCAAATGTCAACAACAAACAGCGATTTATAACAATGTTGTCTGGAAAACTGGAGCAGAGACATTTAAACGCCGTGGAGGCAGAGGATGATGCTGATCTCATTATCAATACTGCAATTGAATTGACGAATGAAAATCGAAGTATAATTGTTGGGAATGATGTATGTCTTATTGACAGCTCTTGTTCCTGACAATAAAGATATTTGTTTTATGAAGCCTGGAAAATCAAACATCGCCACAATTATATATTCGCCAAAAAGTTTCGATGCTCACATCACCGTTAAGCCACACATTTTATTCTTGTATGCTTTGACTGGATGTGTCACAACATCTGCTCTCTTCAATAAAGGCAAGACAAAGGTCATTAAAAATTTTCAAAAGAGATTCAGCAAAAGTATTCAATGAGGAAGGATGTTCTCCAGATACTATTTTCACAAATGGTATCAAATCATTATTAGCGATATATGGTGCTCCACTGCGCGAAGAATCTCTTGACCATCATCTACGAGTATATAACTGCTTTGCAAAATCGACAAGGAATGATAGAGCTGTTAAGCTTTCAATGCAACATCGAATGCAACTCAAGCACATTCATGTCGTGTATATTATCAAGTTCAGAAATGGCTTGGAAATAATTTGAATCCATTGGATTGGGGGTGGACTATGGCCGACGAATATTTACAGCCACCTGCTCCTGCTGTCTTATTTAATACAATCTTTTGCAATTGTACGAAAGGTTGTGGAGTTAATTGCGAATGTAGGAAACTTGGCCTACACTGTTCCGCCATTTGCGGCTACTTTCATGGACAGTCATGTCTGTATGTGATCTCGAACAATGTGGAATTCGATGAGAATATAGACCCCATGAACTTCCTATGCTCAACACTTGAGGTTGGCGAAGACTAAGATGATGCCGCACCATGTCACAATTGTGACTAAGGAAAAAAAGTAACAATAACATCATTTTTCCATTCTATCTTCGTGGATTAGGCCTGTTGAGGAATCCACATGGAAAAAAAACGCGTCTGGCACTTTACCTCTATCGTACGTTATTTTAAAATTTTCTCGATGTTCAACATTGAAAGTAAAATTTCCTTTGAAAAAAACGATCTCTACGAAATAAATGCATAGGACCTTTTTTGGGATAATTGCATACTGAACATAAAAGGTAATTGCTTATTTTATCGTAGAATTGATATTTTCGTAGATATGGAAAAAAGTGCTTTTTTGTCACCTTTGACCCCCCCCATAAAAAAGCTCCACTTGGATTCATGTGGACTTTTGAGGGATGATTTATAATGCTTAAAAGAAGCTCTGGTAAAAAATTCAGCCAGGTGGGATTATTTTAGCAGAGAAAGTCTAATAGTCCTGGACATTGATTTAGATCATGTGAGGACAGGATTAAATACGATGCTGTCACTTGTATTGTCTATAAAAAGGAATAAAGTCTCAAATGCAACCTCATTTTTGCCATTCTAACATTTAACAAACGTGTAACTCTATTTTCTAACAGTATAATGCTCCGTATTGCGAAAGCTACTACCTCAATAACGTATGTCTTAAAAATTTTAAGAATGCGTAATAACCATATGGTATATCTCATATCTAGAAAAACAAATCTCACACAGACTGGTATTCGCTTCGTTTCTATTTCCTATTTCCTCGCCGCAATAAAAATGTTATTTGCTATCCGAAAATAAAACGGATCGCATCGAAAATTACCGTACACATGAGTGCACTATGACTGAAAGGCACCAAGGTAAAACAAAGTTAATACTCGTTAGAAGAGTTTTGTTTAAGTAGCATCGAACATAAATCCTAAATACTAGGAATATCCTGACTGCTATAATAAGTTTGACCGCCTTAATCGGAGTTTCCCGGACAAGGGCAGTAGAACTGGAAAAAACACTGTTCCGTAAATTGTTTCTCAATTTTAATGCTCTATAAACAAAGAAACGGTCGCAATAGCCGATTTTTTAACCCGTAGCCACAGCCGTGGAGTCAATTTGACTCCTTGCTAGTATGTGGAGGGGGATTTCCCGTTTTCTCCTCAGTCTATATATAAACAGATTGATAGTAACATTGCTATACTACTTAAAACTGTAATGACTCATACGCGTGATCAACACGTGATCAGAGCTCGATCCCGGCTTCCTTCCAGTACAGCCGTATAGCGTACGACATATGTCGTTTCTGTGGCTTTGCGGTGGTCAACAGAACAGACAGAGATGGAAATAATGGCTGATTGTTCTCCGCGGGTAGAACCAATGAAATCAAAGACGCACCTCGACCGGCAGACTCATAGGCGTCGGCAACGCATTGGAACGTGTTTCGTTGAGCGATCGCATATTGTGTGTTTTTATAAGAATTGTTGTGTGATTGTTATTGTTGTGGTGTCTGTGGTTACTGTTTTGGTTATACTTAACCATGGAGAGTACAAATGGCACGAGTGGAAGTACTGAAAGCCAGGGAACAAGTAGACGGCTTCGTAAAGCACTTAAGAGGGACGCGAAAGAAATCGTGCTCAACGTGTTCAATTATCTGAACAGAACTATGTCGCAGGGAGATGCACTCGCGCGTTGTGAAAGTATGACAGGCGTTCCAGAGTGGACCATTCGCAGGGTGGTCCATGAAGAGAAGAAAACTGGAGCTACTACTGATAGAAAGTTTAATTTGAAGGGACGAAAGGCCGTTAAATTGGATGACGATAGCAAAATGGCGTTAAGGCGAACCGTACATTCGTTCTTCTTTAGGAATGAGACACCAACCCTCAAGGTTGTACATGCAGCGATCAAGGAAAATGAAATTATACCCCAAATGAGCGTCGAGGTAATGAGGAAATCCCTGCACGAAATTAATTTTCGTTACGAAATGCGTAATCGGAAGTCAGTATTGATAGAGAGACCTGAAATAGTCGCCTGGCGTCGAAAATACCTACGCGAAATGATTGAATATACCACTGTGAACTGAACCCAATAGAGCTCATCTGGGCTCAAGTGAAGGGTTATATTGCGCGCCATAACACAACCTTCAAATTACCAGACGTTAAGGTTTTACTTGAGACTTCCATACAGCTAGTAACGCCCGAAGCTTGGCAGAATGCTATCCGTCATGTTGTGAAGGAAGAAACAAAAATGTGGCAGCTTGACCACCACATCGACACCATCATAGAGCCAGTTATAGTCAATTTCAACGAGGAAAGCGATAGCGACAGTTTATTACTGTCAGATGTAAGTGGAAGCGACGATGAATAAAGGTAGTTCCCAAATTTTTTACTTACAATATGTTTCAAACCACTCTTTATTAAGCATGTGCCAAATCTAGTTCACCCATGTTAAACATTCATACCCCGCCTATGAACAGCCGACTACTGGTAATTAAGTGATGTTCACGTGAACATCGATGAGTCATTACAGTTTTAGATAGTTATAGTATAGTTATTAAATCGTTTCGGTAGTATAAACTTACACTGACTGACAAAAAAAGGTAAACACCTCAGTATACTTATAGGTTTAGATGTAGTTTGTTTCATTCTGAGCACTGCGAAGTATGATTTGATAGTTTTCCTGCAGAGATTACTTATATGTTCTCGGCATGTTGGTTTTTCGTCCACATGCGTCTCAAGACAAGTAGATTATCTGAAAAATACCTTCCTGGAAGCGCAGCTTACCACTATAAAAATCCATATGAACCGTCTTCCTTTTATTTAATATGATACGGTTGCTTTGGCTTACTATTTACTCATCTCCTAGCCTACTTTATTCAAGTTGCCTCCCGATCAAATTCATTTTTCCACTCAGATCCTCTTTGAGAGTTCCAGATGCTATTTTCAACTAACAACCACTCACCAGTTCGGAGTTTGTAGATTAATCGATGTCTGTGCTATGCTGAATTAATGAGATTTTTAATTTTACGAGCGTCATCCTTCAACCAGCCCGGCCTGTTATTGGCAAGTAATAAATTCGCCGGAAGCCTATGAGTCACTTTGGCTTGTGGCGCATTTGCGTTTGTTTAATATTTATCCTGGTAGGCCAACGAATGAAGCTTATTGCCCGATAAAATATCTACCGAAAGTAAGCAGCTTGTAAATTTGCCACCCGGGAATATGCTATCTAATTTCATAGAATGAAAGTGTATACAAGTGACATATACAGGGTGGCGCATCTAAAAGCCTAAAGTAGACTTTAATAGGTACATCAGATTAGTTTTGTACTACTTTCAGAAGAAATTTGACTAAAAGAATTTACTTAATAAGTAATCACTACGCCCATGGTTTGTTTATCATTTTGTTGTTGAAAATAGCTATTGGACCGTTTTTTTGTGGCAAAACAGTTATTTCTTGAAGAAAGATAAGGAAATGTCTCGTACTTATTTTAAATAGGAATCTAGTACATAGTTTGCGATTGATTTGACCAAACTTTGTTGCTAAAATAACTTGTAACGCTTTATTACATAAATTAACCATGGTATACTAAGTGACATATAAATCCAAACACCCAGTTTAAATGGTTTTATTTTAATAAAATTTTGTATAAGTACTTAATGAAGCATAATAAGTGAATGATAAAAATTTCAAAATGATTGCACTGCTTTAAAGCCTTTGACCTTTAATAATGTGTGGATGCACCCTGATGTGCTACGCATTCTCCAACGCGCCTAGGCATGCTTCTGATCAGGTGGTCAATGTCCTCCTGTGGTATCTCATTCCAGGCAGCCACCAACTCCTCTCGAAGTGCTTCTAGAGTCTGAGGAGGACGTTGCAAATTGAGCAATCTCCTACCCATCATATCCCACACGTGCTCAATTGGGGATAAGTCGGGAGATCTTGGTGGCCATGGTAACAATGTGACATCATTATGTTGAAAAAAGTCTATTGTGACTCTTGCAACATGTGGTCGGGCAATATCTTGTTGGAAAGTTGGATCTGCCAGGGTGTCAAGATAGGGTAAAAGATGGGGTTCTGGAACTTCGTGGATATAACGCTGCGCGTTCATGTTACCTCTGATGAAGATTAAAGGTGACCTGGAACCATAAGCTATAGCACCCCAAACCATAACTCCAACAGTGTGATGAACATTCTTTCAACAAAAAACTGTGGATTCCTCCTTTCACCACGTCGCCTTCTAACCCTGGCACGACCATCGTGCATGCCTAAACAAAA